GCACATCAATGGGGAGTGTGGAACAAGGTGAGGGAGATCACAGGTACTATACCAGATGGTAATATAACGAGTAACAGTTATGGTGGCAAAGTGTGTCGTACGTTTGATTTTCGGTTGCAGCATTCCTGTGTACCCTGTGGGTGCAGTTATGGGGGAATGTGAATAAGGTGAGGGAGGTGATGCTGGCTGCATGGGATGGTATGGTACGATAACAAGTAAAGGTGGGAAAATGTGTCGCATATTATTCTCTCAGGTGCAGGAGCCGTGAGCACACTGCTGGTGCAATCAAGGGAAATGTGCACTCACTTGCATTCACCATGCATGCACCATCCACATTCACCATGCACTTCCCATCCGTCCACCTCCCTCCCACTGGCAGCAAATGGATGTGGCATCAGCAGCGCGCATGGCAGCAGATTTTCAACGAGAATCCGCCAAGATGGATCACGTGGTGGGTGGATTGGAGTGCCACGTGGCCATGTGCCAGGGATTGTTGTTTCGCGAAACATTGCTCAGGATCGTTGCTTGCCTATTAACCCATGTTATAGTAGTTTATGGTAACAATACCATAAACTATGGGGCATAGGTTACTGACACAGCCAGCACACAACCCACTTGATCCCTTCTTCCGACCAAGTGGGGTTGTGTGCTGGCTGTGTGAGTAACCTATGGCCCAGAGTGAAGCGATTATGTTTATTGCATGCGGCTCGGAATCTCAACAGCAGGTCATAACACATGCTTTCTGAACACATGCTTTCTGAACCACAGATTGATTGTGCATGTAGTTGCCTGGTGTAACTGCAGATCATGGCGCATGCTTTTTGGATCACATCGTGACTGTTGCATGTGGTTCGGACTTTTTGGCTGGAAAGTTAGCGAGTAGAAAGTGCATGACTAGGCCTGGACTACGTTTCGACTAGGCAATCTTTTCCCTGCCGCTCTTCTCATCTGTCCTCTCCTCTCTTCCTGCCCTCATGGCACATGGCTCATGGTACATGGATGTGACATATACCCCTTGGCATGTGGCATGGCATATGGTGCATGTCACATGGCAAGGCGACATGTGTGGAGGTGCTCTGGACTATGCTCTGGATACAAGTGACACGGAGGAGGAGGAGGCTGATAGACCTGCCCTTGCTCTTTTCATTTATCCTCCTCTCCTCTCCTCCTGTTCTCATGGCACATGGCACATGGCACATGGCGCATGGCACATGGCGCATGGCACATGGCACATGGCACATGGCGCATGGCACATGGCGCATGGCACATGGCACATGGCACATGGCAGGGCGACATGGTGGGAGGCGCTTTGGATGATGCTCTGGATACAAGCGACACTGAGGAGGAGGCCGATGACATCACGAACCAGGTGTGCTGATGTCAGCAGGCATGTTCTGCTTGCCAACCATATCCATGCAGCTGAATCATGGCAATCTGGATGGGTGAAGGAGCGAGCTCGTTGCAATGCGTTGACAAACGCCGTTTGAGGTGACTTCTGAGTCGACTCAAGAGTCTCCTTGAAGGAGCGAGCGAGCGAACACGTGTTTACGTACGCTGTTCGCTCTGCTCCCATTGCCCTTAAAATCCTATTTTGCTTGCATAAATTTTCATTCGGCTGCATGTGTAGCCCTTAGTCGGCACCTTACATGACCTACGAAGACGTACAGTGCTAACTAAGGTGTAGCCGTAATGGCGGTCCAGGATACGGGGCTTCATAGTTCAGTTCCCAAGACTTTTGATGTAATCTCATACAGCTCTGTTTTCCTTATCCTTTCCTCCTCTTTCAATCAACCATACCTCAGATTCTCTTTCAATCAACCATACCTCAGATCCTCTTTCAATCAACCATACCTCAGGTTCTCTTATTGGTCTCCTCAAACATCACTCCCACCCCTCTCCGTCGTCTGTGCTTCCTCTTTCCTGCCATCTTCTCCACTTGCTGTCGTGATTCAGATCCTGGATGAGATTGGCATCGACATGTCTGCCCAGGTGCTCTCTCTGCTCCTTACTGGTTGCCTGCACGTTACTTGGTTATCTGCATGCATCTTATCCCTCACATCCTCCACATGAATCACGTGCATCTCATGCACCAAGAGCATCACATGAATTCACGTGCATCTCATGCACCAAGAGCATCACATGAATTCACGTGCATCCATCAGACCCATTCCCGTCATGTCAGCGACCCCGCTCATCCCCCCCTCTCCTCGTGTTTGAGACGTCTCAAAACACTTCTTTAAATCAGCGACCCCGCTCATCCCCCCCTCTCCTCTGCCCCCACTGGCGCATTCCCGGTTTGAAATCATTCTGGCAGCTCTCGAGTGTGCCGGCCAGAAGACTGCCCACAGCAGCAGCAGCACAGGCGGAGGCGTCTCGGTGAGTTGGGAATCTGCTTTCTTACAAAAGAAATAGCAGGGCTGCATGGCATGTGGCATTGGAGAGGTCCCTGGCAGCTGATGAGTGTGCCGGCCAGAAGACTGCCTGCAGCAGCAGCACAAGGGGAGGCGTCTCGGTGAGTTCAGGAATCTGCTTTTAAACAGGAGCAATGGCAGGGTTGCCTACCCTGTGGCATTGGACAGCTATCAGGAAGCTCTTGAGTGTGCCGGCCAGAAGAATGCCCACAGCAGCAGCAGCAGCACCAGCAGCAGCAGCAGCAGCAGGAGAGGTGTCTCGGTGAGTTGGGAACTCGTTCTGTTCCGTAAGATGAATATTGCTGCCATGACATGTGGGAGGAAGGAGATGGCTGAATGGCATGGCATGTGTGGTAACATGGGGGAGTCATAGGCCTGGATGGCGTGTACCACAAGCAGTCTAGGCTTGTGCTGGCATGGCTTGTGGTGCATTGCATGTGGCTGCATTGCTGCGTCAATGCAAGGTAGGGATGCATGGGTATGCGTGCTGGTGCATCAGCATGTCGGTGTAACTATCATTTGAGGGGAATGCCAGAAAAACTCGAATTTCTAGGGTGCCAGGTTCTCCCCTCTTCCCCCCTTCTGCCTCCTCTCCCCACCTGCACGTCCCCCTTGCTTCTGCTGTGCAACTGAGCTTCGAGGCGTGTCAATACGTTTTTTTTATTTCCCTAACCTGCAAGCAATTCCTTTCCCTCTATCACTATCCTATCCTATCAACAGCAAACAATCGGGGTGGCAGGAGGAAGAGGAGGATGACCTTCAACGCCGCTTTGCAGCCCTGCACAGCCGATGATGGTGGATTACTGAAAGTTTTACAGTAAAAAAAATAAAAGTTGCTGGGTTGGGTATGTTTTAGCTTCGTACCTTTCAACACGTCAACATATATCCTATTTTTTTCTGGGATAGGTAGGTATGTCGTATCGTATGATACACAGGGCAGGCATCTCATGCTTGTCCAAACATTTGGTTGTATATATGTGAACAAATGCACCATTGGTTTGTGTTAAAGTGAACCACTTCATAGCTCTATATTGTTCTGATTCCCCTGAGACAAGAAGGGCTACAGTCATCAAGCTTTATGCGCGGTCCCATCAATGGAAGGCCCTCTGGATTCTGTCAGATCACAGGTGGACCTCTCAGGATCTCGCGTCAAGCACTGCTGGCAGCCAGCGCAGCACAATCCGACAGCCTCGAAACCGCCGTTCGGACCGGGTGGGGGAACGTGGGTGGCTAGCGCGCTAATTCCTGAACATTTCGTGTGTATGCTTGCGTGAACTGGGTGAGCAGAAGGCGCATCGAGAATTGGTTGGTAGGGGACCGTCATCGTCATCACTTTTCAATGGGGAATGGAAAGTCACCTTGTGGAGATGGAAAGGGGGTGGAGGCTGGCCAGGGTGTCGGCGGGGTAGACCCTCGAGTACAGTAAAGAACAACATCTAGGGAGGTGACGCAAAAGTCCACAACGGTGCATTAGAGAGCCAGACTGGTTCTGTGATTTCTACTCACCCCAATCAAGCATCCCCCAGTTGAGGATAGGATACGTGTGGAGGAGAAAAGGCGGGGAGCACAAGGAGAGCGGAGGGGAGGCAGGGAGGGGGAACCCTTCCCTCCCCTCTCCCCCCCCCCCCCCCGGAACCGTGACCAGTCACGTCACACGACTCACGACGACGACTCAATCACTCCGCTCCGTCAACCCACAGGCAGCGCAAACGGCGGGCAGCAGCTGGCGCCTCCACCACGCTGACGGTGGCGTGGCGCTTTGCTGGCTGCTGCTTTTGGGTTGCCGCTGGTTTGTTAGTGAACGTGACGTGGCGTGCTCTCCTGCTGTATGCTCCGCGATTGCGTCATGCGTCGGTCGATCTTGTAGGGTTGTTGGGCTAAGGCGTTTGTTGCTCACGTGTAGGGCCGTTACCCCACCTTAGGCTCGGCGGTACTATTTGGTCACTAGCTAACGTGTCAATTAGAAAGGTGTATTTGAAACCTGCGATTAGAGCGGGCAAGCCTAGCGCAGGCCGCACGTGCAAGGCAGACAGCAGAGTACCCTTCCCCGCCTTGCACGCTGCTGCTCGTCTTCCCTCCTCCACTATACTCATCACATCTATGCCGATTAGTCTTAGTCTTAGACTTGACTACTTCTGACACTTATCTGCTGTCGATCTACTTGTCCAGTCCGCACCTTAGTTCGCTATCCCCGGAGTGGCGCTATTCTTCTCTGGCCAACCGTTGACCATCTATTAACCATTTGTTGACCGCCTGTCTTGTTTTCAATCACCAATTCGCCTCCGTCTGCCGTCGCGCCTCATCCAGTCACCCGATACTCATCCAACTGACGACTCACCCTTTGGTCAAGCGCATTACAACACTTTCACCCGTCATCCCCGCCTCCCCACTAAGCCTTTCGTAACCTCCGTCATACAGCCTCCTCCGGCCTTCATCTTTCCACCAGCATTCGCCTCTTTCACAAGATTTCTCATTCGCCGGAAGCTACTCTCGCCAGAATCGCTTTCTGCCAGAAGTCCCCTCCGCCAGAAGCCCGTTCTTGCCAGAAGTCTTTTCCGCCAGAAACCCGTTCCACTACATTCCGCCGTCATGGCTGCGCCGTCAGGGTCGAGTCCTACCGGCCAGTGGATGCGGTACTTGACGAATTCCGTCGACATTGACGTTGACGGTGGCGATGGTACCGCACTAGACAAGTTGCTGGCCGAACAGCAATCCACGTGTCAGGAACTTGAGAGGTGAGTGCAATACACCCGGCACGGGTGTAACGAGTCACACTAAAACGGTGAAACAGGTCCTCGCTGCGTCTTTGCCGTGCCATTTCCCGTGTCTCCTCCCCGTGCCGTCGCTCACTTTTCCACTCTCCGTGACATTCCTCATAACGTTGTATCTCGGGCTTGCCCCTATGCAGGACGTCGAGTCATGCCAATGAGAGCAGTGCTGCGGATAAGGAGGCGTCGCATTGTAGGGAGCCGTCGCACAGGGAGCCGTCGCACGGCAATCGCAAGGACGCCGAACACCGCGCCGGCGTCGCTGCTTCTCATAAGCGGTGAGTAATTTTCCTTGCCCCTCTTCTTTCCCCTCCATCTCGTCCCTTATCCTCGTTACTGGCCGATCGTCCAGTTCCATGCGTGTCGAGTGGACTAACTAATCTGGCTGCTCATTCTTACCGATTCTTTTGTTGCCCGTCTCCCGACTCACTCCCCCTCTCTCGAATCATTCCCCCTTTCGTGGTGCGCTCCCGAATGTTCTCGTTCCCGGCGAGTGTTTCCAGGCAACGGGAGGACCCGTGCGAGGTCAACAGCAGCAAGGCCAATCGGGAGAAGATGCGCCGCGACCGACTCAACGACAGGTGCGTGCTTGGTGGTGGGTGCCGTTAATTCTCCATCACTCCCTTTTTCCGTCACTTCTGCTTTCATTGGAAGATGTTTTTTGGGCACCTTGTCATTACTTATCCTGCACCTCTCCCTCTCCGTCTCTTCTCCCCATTCCCGTTCTTCGCACTCCCGCCCCATCTTCCTCCGCCCTCTTTCTTGTCCGTGCCTGCTACATACCCCCTTTTCCCACCCTTCCCGCCAACACACCTGTTTACTCACCCGCTGTCCGCGCCCTTCTCCCCAACGCGTCTCTTACTTCCCCCCTCCCGTCACCGTTCCCCAGGTTCGTGGAGTTGGCGCGGTCCCTAGAGGGGAGCGGGCAGGCGCGCGCGGACAGGGGGAGCATTCTGGCGGACGCCGTGCGCGTGCTGGCGCAGCTGAGGGCGGAGACGGCGCAACTGAGGGGGTCCGCGGAGCAGATGAAGGAGCAGATCCGTGAGCTCAAGGTGCGGTTGGGGGAAAATGGGGAGAAAGGGGGAGTAGGGGTGGAAGGGGAGGAAGGGGAAAGGAAAAGAGGTAGGGGGAATGGAGGCAGAGTCTTTGGAGATGGAGGGTGGAGGGTGTGTGAGAGGGTGGGTGTGTGATGTAGATGGAATGATGCGTGGAGCAGGTGCAGTGGATTGGCGTGCACAGCTGCAGCGTGGGAACGAACGCTGTGCTCTCATGTGTCCCCCTGCTCTGCTGCTGGGCGTATTTTTGCTAAAAATATGTTCTTGACTGAGTCGGGACAGAGAGGGTTCTCCGTTATTGAATCAGGGCTGACGCCAGCATGGGTCATGGAGCATGTGAAGATGGAATTCATGGCAAGCATGTGGCCATTCTCATAGAGTCTTGTGTTGTCTTCTGTGCTGAACATGTTCACTGCGTGCAGGCGGAGAAGAGTGAGCTGAGGGAGGAGAAGGCTCGACTGCAGGCCAACAAGCAGCACTTAGAGGAGCAGGTCAGGCGCATGGCTGCATCGGGTGCCGCCCAATCCACCACCGCCACGTCAGCAACAGCCGCATCACCAGCCGCTGCTCCCCCTCCTGGTTCTGGTGCTGCCAGTGCTGTTCCCTTGGTGCTGCATTCAGCGTGTGAGCCAGGCAAGCTAGCTGCACTAGGTGCACCCATGGGCTTGATGCCTTTACCGTTCATGCCTGGCGGGATTGCTCATCCTTATTCACAACCTACGCAAGGTAGCTATCCCCTTGCAGGGAACCTGCCTGGCGCAGGTCACATGACATATGCTGTTCAAACTCATCCTGCCACTGCTGCAGGGACTGCTGCCCCTGCTGCGTCTGCTGCTGTTGCTGGTGGTGGTACACAGTACATGGCACCTCTGCCTGCCATGATGCCATATGGCATGCCTGGAATGGCACCAGTGGCCATGTGGCAGTGGTTACCGCAGTCTGCTGTTGACCCGTCCAATGATCAGATGCTCAGGCCACCGGTGGCATGATTTGTCTAATCCTGAAGTGGGCCGTTCAACGCTGAAGCCATCAGTTTACTTTTCCAGTTTGGTGGTGTAGTTGATATATTGATATTGTACTTGGCAAGCATTCATGGGCAAGCCCTAACCTGAGGCATCTCTGGTTGCAGTCAGATGCAAAACATGAAGAAATTATTCGCAGTTGTGTCCAAGTCAGGCCCTCAGATGTCAGCGAAAAAAGGCTGATTTAGGGTCTGGACGCTGATTTCACAGACATGTGGGCGATGTGCTGGCTGAAAGTTCAGTTTTTTTTTTTATGTGTTGGCTGATTGTTCAGGTTTTTTTTTTATGTTTTGGCTGATTATCCAGCGTTTTTTTACAAGTGTTCGCTGATTTATCAGACTTGTAACGAGAGTGTAGGCTGAATTCACGCTATTACAGATTCGTTTGCTTCGTTGTCACCGACAGAATGCTTAAATAGATGTGATTCGTTGGTAAACCAATCACATCCCTTATGCGCCAATCACCCGCCACCAGTGCAGCACAGGAACGCACCGCACGCACTCACGACAAGGACACCCACCTCACCCCATCTCACCCACCCCGAACCTGCATCTAAGTGCGTGCATGGTGCCCCCTCGTCGCGCCGCGTAGCTGATGGGTGGTGAGAATGAGAGGGCCTTCTTTTATGGCTCTCTCTTGATGACCCCACCGTACCCACCCCCTAGGCGAGCTGCACTGTCAATCCACGCCTCTCGCCCTGGTTTTCTCAAACCCTAGCTAGCAACGTTGGAGCTCGGCACGCTCTCCCCTTTCAGCCATGGCCGGCCTTGCAGAAGGCGTAGGTTGCGATGATGATGCAGGCAGCGATGATGAATTAGACGGCCTAGAGGAAGCCAGGACGGGGCTTGATATGCTCCTGCGCTCGCTTGCCCCTGGTGTCCTCGCTCCCAGGCTTCCTACTGCAAAGCCAGCACTAGTCGAGAGGGTGCACCGCGACCACCCACCGGTTTCTTCAAGCTCGGATTCCATCCGGGGTGAGCCTGCTGCGCCGGCTGCCGTCTCCGACACGTTGGTTCTCGACTCGCCAACAACAAAGTCCACTGGCCCGCGCAACTTCAAGCTCAAGCAGTCGACGCTGAGCTGGGCAAAACCTTGTTCGAGTACCGCCGTCGAGCAACCTGTCGCGAACAACACAGCCCCTCTTCCATCCTTGGTCATAGACATTTCAGAGGCCATCGAGGCAGTCTATGCAGACGCTCTTTTGAAGTACAAAACCAAGTGGTCTGAGAGGTTCCGTGGCTTGTGCTAACCAAATTTAAATCTGGTTTCCCTGCTTTTAAGTGCAGTGTCTGCACCAAGCATGCCGGAGTCAGGGGGCGATGTGGCCGGACAGGGCGAGGGGCGACCGACGTGCAGACGCAGGCGTTTCGCAAGCACGCCGGCACGACGAAACACGGGCTGGCGATGGAGAAGCAAGAGGCTCTGCTGAACGCGGCCTCAAAGCAGCCACGGATCGACCAACATCGAGCCGCCATCGATGCTGAGAAGAACCGCGTCGTGGCGTTGCTCGACTCCATGCTGTTCGTCAGTTCCTGCGATGCGCCAATGGGAACATGGGTGAAGCTGGTGCAGTACCTCGCGCGTAAGGGTGTCCAGGGCTACCCTAAGAAGGGATATGGCACCTACTACACAACGTGAGTAGTAGCCACATTTGTATTGCGTTGATGTTTTGATGTTCAACCCTAAACCCTCTTCTAATCTCTTGTCTTTGGTTTCCCTGCGTGTAGGTACGGCTTCGGTGAGCTCACGCAGGCCCTTGCTACCTGGCTACAGACAACTCAGCTGGAGCACATCCTGACAAGCCCTTTCATCGGCATCTGCATCGATGAAAGCACGGATCGACTCCGGGGGAAGCACATGATCTTGTATGCCTCGTTCATCCGCGACAACGTGCTCGTGACCGAGTTCATGCAGCTGATCACGGTGGAAAAGGCGGACGCTTCTTCACTTCTGAGCATCCTGCTTTCCCACTTGCAGTCCGTCGGTGTCGATCTACAGAGAATTTCTGGCATTAGCACCGACGGCGCAAGAGTGATGATGGGGTCTAAGGCCGGCCTGGTTGTCCGCCTGCGATAGAAGATTCCGCACCTTGTCTCCGTTCACTGCATCGCTCACAGGTAAGTGAGCTCTGCTGCTATGTTTCCAGCCCGTTACGCCATGTGGTTCGAGCTCGTGTTTAACGTCTTGAGTTTAATGTTGTACTTGCAGGGAGGCACTTGCAGCGAAGGATGCAGCAGAGGAGCTCCCCGTCTTCGACATGGTCGACGATCTCATCCGGGCAGTGGCGGATTTGCTTGGTCGGTCGGGACCGCGCCACGCACGGTTCATGGACATGCAGGAAGTCATCACCGAAACGAGCCTTGAAGTGCAAGGCATCCATTCCGTTCGGTGGTTGTCAAGGGGGGATGCCGTTCGTCGCCTTGTCGCTGTTTTGCCGGCAGTGATTGTGCTGCTGAAGGAGCTTAACAGCAAGATGTACAAACTGGCAAGCTCCTACCGTTTTCACTTCTTCCTTTACTTCCTGGCTGATGTGCTTGAGCAGCTCAACATTTTGAACAAGACCTTCCAGCAGAAACAGGTGAGGTGGTGCGAATATAGCTACGCATGTCCCCACATTAACCCTTCTAACTGTGTCACTGTGTGCCTCTGTCTGTCCAGCTCGATCTGGTGTCTTTGCATGCGCAGATCAAGCGGACAACGCGTCACATCGAGAGCCGCTACGTGGACTGCGGCGATGACTTCGGCGGCGGCATGAGCCAGTGGCTGTCACCTTTCCTGCTGCGCCATGGCCCGGGGTGTAGCCGCGAAGTGAAGGTGGAAGGTGTCGACAGTGACGGCCGACCATCTTCTATTACGTTCACCCTTCACGACGAGCCCGTGGACTCGTACAACGGCCCGGAGGACCACGACGGGTGCATCCAGTTGTGCACCGAGTTCGCAGAGAGGATCGTGGCGAACCTGGAGGGAAGGCTCGGCGATCTCGACTCCCTCTCTGGAGTCCGCCTGTTCACACCAGATGCATGGCCACAAAGCAAGTCTGAGCGGAACGCTCGTTGCCTGGAGTGGCTTCAGTCGCTGGTGACGATGTTCAAGGCTCAGGACCGTGAGGACATCTTGCCAGGTCTGTTGTGGCGCCTTTGTGAACCTTTGATATCGTATCCATGCTTGAAAATCCTTTGTGGTGCACCTGTTTGCTCATGTCATGTGCCTCATCTTAACCCTCCCTCCCTCCCACCAGGCATCAACAAGAGGCAGGTAGGCAAGGAGCTTCGCCTCTTCTGTTCAGTCCTTGCACGTGCCCCCAAGGAAGAGAGGGGCTTCCACAGCGGACTATCGGCGATCCTCAAGACGCCAGACTGGCGGGAGAGCTACCCCAATCTGGTGCAGCTCTGGGTGGCGGTGGCTGTGATTCCCCTCAGCACTGTGGAGTGTGAAAGGGGATTCACTCGGCAAAACGTGATCAAGACATGGCGGAGAGGGGGGATCAAGGACGCGAGGCTGGGGGACCTCATGTGTCTGTCCCTCTTGCAGTACAAGCCCAACTACGATGAGGTAGTTGAGATCTGGCGGAGTTACAGAAAGCGCAAGCCTTTCAGCAATGCTCCCATTCGCACCCCAATCCCAGGCGAGAACAAGAAGGGCAAGCACAAGGAGGAGCCAGTAGATGTAGATGATGAGGAGGAGCCAGTAGATGTAGATGATGAGGAGGAGCCAGTAGGAGATGCAGGAGGTAGTTCTAGTGATGAAGATGAAATGAGCATCTAGCTAATGTCATGTATGTGGTAGTGTTTCCCTGTTATGCCTGCTAAATTTAATGAAAAAAGTGATCAACATGGATCAGCCAGAGTGTATTAAGTGAGGCTGATTAGTCAGCGTTTTTTTTTTTTATACTTGTCTGAACTTTCAGTTTTTTTTTTACAACCAACTCTGATTGATCAGCTTAACGTTGGCTGCTAAGGCTGACGTATCAGCCAAGCCAAAAACGAATCTGAGGCCCTGGTCCAAGTGCTTGAACTTTGAATGTATATTTTTATTTATATCTTGAATGTAGTACGTATCAGGGCCAGTGCCTCAGATTGGTTTTGAGCTAGGCTGAACCAATCAGAGTTGGTACAAAAAAATATGCAAAAAATCAGAAAAATCTGCCATTATATGTCAGTTTACACTACAAATCACATAAATTTTCCTGTTTTTTCACAGAAAAATGCTGAATAATCAGCCACAGTTCTAAAAAAGGTCTGAAATCTCAGCCTTTTTTACCCAAATCAGCCTTTTTTCGCTGACTTCTGAGGCCCTGATCAGGGCGCATTCCTGGCTTCGTGTCAAGAATTGAGTTGTCAACCTAGAACTCGGGAACGCACGTGATTGGACCATTGTGATTTTTTTGTCAATCGCGTGAGATCCAATCCAAGGTTCTACAGGTTGACACCAACCATTTCTTGACACAAAGCAAGGAATGCGCCCTGACTGTAGATTTCTTATTGGTGGTGTACTCCTTGTGTCACAATAATACCGTAGCTAGGAATGACTTCACTAGGTCAAGGGGAGAGTACCCAGGCCCCAAAATGTCAAGGTAAAATACCCTGATTGCCCTGACTGGCGGCCGCTTTTTTTCGGGTTACCCTGACCCAGTCAGCCTCCCGGATTTCTTACCCCGACTCGTAAAGAGTGTGATTTTGTGTACCCTTATGAAATCCGAGTTATATATTGTTTCCCCTGACTTTCTTCAGTGTTTTGAACCTGTTACACTGATTACGAGTCTTTCGTAGCGAGGATACGGTGGATGTTGCGCCAGCGAGTATTGCACTCAGTCCTTTCCCGATACGAGCATCGAAACCGCGATCTTCCCCAATCGTAGCATCACCTCTAACCCTGTGAGACACTTGAACCTGCATCAAACTAGTTCGTGGTTTTTTTATATTATAAACATCGTAATCAGGTTAAGTTTTTTTTTACCCTGTTTCCATCAGGATACGAGATTTTTTACCCTAGGAGTCAGGGTTGGCCCACCCTGGAACTCTGATTTGACAGGGTGGGCCAAAACCAATTTTGGGCCCTGGAGAGTACAAGGTGAGTGATGAGTATCATGATAAAAGATCCTGATTACACTGATCATGTTGCGATGCGATCAGAAATTGATCGCACCTAGGATCACCTCAGGAAGGCTCGCACAAGCAGGGCTAACTTTAGTGCCAGGGCCCGTCTGACGTTAAGACCAGGTTCTGGCTCCTTGTCTGATGGTCAGACGAAAGATTTAGCGAAGTCTTACGTTTCAGACGAACAAGAAGTACTTGTCTAGGCTGTCAGACGAAATTAGATAGTTAGTCTTATAGCAACACATTTCCTAGCCTATGTAGTTTCTAAACTACCAACATCCTATTCTATTCTAAGAGGATTCACTAGCATTACTGCTTTCACTGTCATCACTACTACTGCCACTGTCATCATCACTACCACTGCCACTCTCAGAGGTTTCAACAATTGTGGCTCTGTTTTTGCCCTTTCTCCAGGTAGGCAGTTCCCATGCAGCTTCTTCTGCAGCCCTCTCTCTCTCCCTTGTTGCAGCCTCTTCTGCCTCTTCCCGTGCGCGTGTAGCTGCTGCTGCTGCTTCTGATGCTGCAGCGCGTTTCTTCAGCTGATGGGACCGCCGTCGCTTCACCGGGCGTGATCCTTCAGCCATGACCACCTCACGCACCGGCCGCCTCTTTTTGCCGCCATAAAACCTATCCACCAGCTCCTCTGTGTTCAGCTCGTAGTCCAGAAGAGACACCGTCATCAGGTCGCCCAGAGTCGTGTCGCACAAGCTGCCGCGCACCCAGCTCTTAATGATGTTCTGACGGCTGAAGCCGCGCTCACACTCAACAGTGCTGAGCGGTAGCACAGCAACAGCAATCCACAGGCGGCCGAGGTTCGGATAGGCAGACTCCCAATCTGGCGTTGAGAGCATCTGAGAGAGGCTGTCGTGGAAGGACAGGTCTTCGTGGTGAGTGGAGAGGATTGTGGTGAAGCTGGTGAGCTCTTTGGCGGCTTTGCCCCAGTCGACACCTGATGGGGAGGGTAGGGAAGGGTGAGGGACATCGGGTATCACAGCAGAGAGTACATTAAGGCACGGCAGCAATAACAGTTACATTAATGATACGCTCACCCCAAAGCAAAGCGCTTACCAGGGAGGGTGTCTGGATGGCTGGGCTTCTTCTTGAACAGGTTGCGCAGCGACTGAAGCCATTCGGGAAACCGGCGCGCTCTCTTAGCGCGCGAACGAGGGTACCGTCCCTGCCGAAACAGACGACTCCCGTCCAACGACTTTAGACTCTTCATGCGATCGTCGATGTAAAACACGGTCCTCCTAGCGAACTTGGATGCCGCCTCCATGCACGACGCCAGGTCGCCCCCAAACTTCTCCTTCCCGATTAAGTCCTCGTGCAGCACGTACGAGTGAGTTACGGGTGTTCCGACGCCGTCAATGCTTTCCACCTTCACCTCGCGATTCTCGGTGCTCCCGTGGTTCTTCAGAATCGTCGCTAGACGACCACTGTTGTCGCCGAAGGTGGAGCCGTACTCCACGTAGCGACTTGTCAAGCACAGGGTGGTGTGTTGCACCATCGACCGAACCTGCGTCGCATCGAGCTGCACATTTCACACAAACAGAATTAGTCACGGCACGGAAAGCCAGGGGGAAATCAGGCAAGACATCGGGAATCACGCGTCCTTACCTGACGTCGCTGGAACTTGAGATTGAGGCTGTTCAGCTCCTGAAGCACGTCAACCAGAAAGAAAAGGAAGAACTGAAATTTCAGACTGGTAACAAGAGTGTACGTTGCCTTGTCGTACTCGTGCAGCAGGACAACGGCAGCAGGCAGCACGTCAGCAAAGCGCTCGATGGCGTCCCCGCGTGAAAGCCAGCGAACGTCTTTAATCCCTTGCATCTCCAGGTTGGTCTCTGTAATCACTTCCTGCAGATTCTTGAATCGCGCATGCTGCACGATGCTGCGGCCGAGAATGTCCGCGAAGGCCCGGACGACTTTGTCGACAACGTTAAACTCGGGGAACTCTTTAGCAGCATCTTTAGCAGCCAGAGCCTCCCTGCAGTCGTAACAAGAGTAGGATTAGTGGGCGAGTTACACAACACAAAAATAAACACAACGACAAACTACCTGTGGGCAACGCAATGGCAAGGCACTATGTGCGGCACCCGTGTTCGTAATCGCGCCACCAGGCCTGTCTGCCCGCCCGTCATAACGCTCGCGCCGTCCGTGGTCATGCCGCTGATCCTCTGCAGTTCGAGGCCGCAAGCAGCAAGGTGTGTCAGCAGGACGGCCTCCAGCGACCCGGCGTCGCACTTCTCAACGGACAAGTTGGCGAAGAACTCGGTAACCACCACTGTGCCACAGAGAAACGTGGCATACAGAATCATGTGTTTGCCACGCCTATGGTTGGTGCTTTCGTCAAGTTGAAGGCCAACGTAGGGACTGAGGCTGATGTGCTGCATCTGCTTTGCTTTCAAGTAGCACACCAGCGCCTCGACCAACTGCTTGAAACCGTACCTGCGTCAAAGAGTACAACAAAGAATTAGTGAATAAGGGGTGTTTAAATACAACATTGATGTGAACAGGCTAAACTTACGTAGAACAATAAGTCCCTTGGTCCTTCGCCGGCATGTCTGGCGTTCCCATCTCCGCCATAAACTGCACGAGTGTCATGAACATGACAATGGGGGTGTCGGATTTGCATAGGAAACGCACAGTCAACAACAGCTTTATCAACCGCCGCGTTTCCGCACTCTTATCTCCAAAGTTGGAGATAGCTGCCTGCTTCTTCTGCGGGCCTTCACGCTGCTCCAACCGTCCCTTCGCCTCCCGGTGCCGGATGCTCCACTGATGTTTCCGCATCGTTTGCTTCTGTATGTCGATGCCGCCCTCGCCCCGAGCGCCATACTGTGACTCAGGATCTGCGTACACCATGCAGATCTTGCACCGCATGCAAGGTTGACCTTCGGATGTGTCACCGATGATGAGCCAAGGGAAGTGGCGGTTCCACTGCTGTTTGGCTTTCAGCTGCAGCTCCTCTAGCGTCAGAATCCGGGGACCGGTCTTCTCTGCTCCACGGCTCTCCCCGCCATCTTTCTCAGTAGTGGGATTCCCTGCAGAGGAAGGGCTAGGGCACTTCGAAAATGAAAGCTTATGTTGCACATATTTAGTCTTGCCAGGAAAACGCGGCGGAAGGAACGGGGAGCGGGATTTGAAGGGATTCTTTTCACCAGGTGATGCAGATGCGCCAGGTTGACCGGATGACGACGAACCCCCAGGATGACTTGTTGAGCTTGGTGATCGTACGGGTGAAAATGGTATTAGCGGCATGGCATCCATCTCAGCGAAAGGGTAAGGGTGCTCGGGAGAATCGGGTTTCCCATTCTCACAGACCGAAGGAGCAATAGGAGCAGCTGTGACTGGAGTAGGTGTGAAACCCCCACCGGTTAGGAAATCCAAGCCAGTGCGTGGGCGTGGCAACACACTGGAAGGAGGTGAATCATGCAGAGTGGATGCTGGATGGGCCTCCGTGCGAGGGTCTACAGCCATCTTGGTGGAACTACAAACTGACTAACTCTGGCTCACGAGGGTAAGATGAAGGACACCTGACGCAGAGGGGAGTGAGGGGGGACCGTCCGAACCATGCCGCATGCAGGAACGTCTCGTTCGCTGCTGGAAGCAGCCATGCCATCAATCCCTTGCTGACTCGACGCGCACTGAAGGCTGTCGGTGTTGCAACTGCAGCCTTCTGCCGTGCGCTGGCACGAATATGCCAAACGAACTGGCAAGATTCGTGCGAGCGGGGTGACTGCGGCGCATTTGACGTGCGGTGTTGTCACTGACCAAAGGCAATGTACAGCCTGGCGGTGGCAGCACGGTAACGCGGCGGGTGGCAAGTCTCGTCCGTAACATTGGGCATCAAGCCATGTGGCCAACTAGCCAGGTGGGCAACTGGCCAGGTGGGGGGATTTGTCTGTTTCAGACGAGAAAAAACTCGTTGTCTGCAGTCTCAGACGAACTGTATAAGGCTGTCTGAGAAATCAGACGAATTTGAAAACTCTGTCCTAAACCATCAGACGAAATTAAACAGGTCGTCTACGACATCAGATGAAGTAGTAAAAAAATGTTCAAAATCCAGAAAAGCAGACCTAAAATTTCTGATAAAGTAAGCCCTGCGCACAAGACTGAATAGTGGTGGTGGGCCCTTGACCTGAATAGCAGAGTGAATGTAAAATGCTTGAGATCATTAAAACATGCAAGTACAAGGAATAAATACGTACAGTACAGGGGAATTCGAAACGACCTAGTTAGCCATGTACTCTAAGGGGTATATTCCAGGGCCTAAGAAGTCAGCGAAAAAAGGCTGATTTGGGTAAAAAAGGCTGAGATTTCAGACCTTTTTTAGAACTGTGGCTGATTATTCAGCATTTTTCTGTGAAAAAACATGAAAAATTATGTGATTTGTAGTGTAAACTGGCATATAATGGCAGATTTTTCTGTTTTTTAGCATAATTTTTTGTACCAACTCTGATTGGTTCAGCCTAGCTCAAAACCAATCTGAGGCCCTGGTACATTCCCTTAATACAGCAAAACCCAACCGTGCGACTCCAAACGGTTACAAGCTGCCTGGGCAGAATCCTCGCCACTGCTGCTGCCCAACGGTCCAGATTCTCAAAGTAGGAATGCAACGGAATGATAAGATTAGGAATGTGGGTGATACAAATATCATACCCTAACTGAGTTGTACTCACTAAGGAGCACTTCACTACAGCTTATCACAAATATCAACATTTGAAACACCCCCATAGGCTAAGTGAGGGGCATCAAAGCAAGCCGGGTGAACAAACGGTCACAAGACCAGTCAATGCAAGAAGCAAAGCAAGCTCAGGGTGGATCTCAAGGACACCACATAATTTCTGAGCACAAGCAAGCGCCCACAACGCCAGTTCACTAGGATACATACGGTAATAGCAAAGTAGAGCAAGCAACAAGGCTACAGCAACTGAGGACCTGCCTCAACAAGCCCTAACTGCACACAGAACCGGTGGTGATCACCAAGCGCCAAGGCCTTGGTGAAGATGTCAGCAGTGTTGGCCTCCGAGGCCACAAAGTCCAGGCGCATCTGGCCACGTCGCTGTAGCTCACGCAGAAGGAAGTACCGGACGTCGATGTGCTTCACCCTGGTCTCCAGTCGAGGCTCGCGACATACGTAAGAGAATCATGGCCTTGTTGTCTGCGAACAAGGTCGGAGCAGTGCGAGGTCGCTCACCAAGGTCAGCGAGCAAGAAGGTCAACCAGCGAAGCTCCTAACCAGCCATATCACTGGCGTAGATCTCTGCCTCTGTACTGGACGAAGCCACCAACGACGACCGTGTGGACCTCCACGACATAGCCCCAGCTCCCAGACTGAAACAGTAACCCTGGGTCGAGCGCCGAGTCTCCACGTCGTCAGCGTAAGAAGAGTCACAAAGGCCAGTCAGCTCAAATGGCCGGGTCCCTCCAAGCACAAGCCCCATGGCTGATGTAGTCGCCAGGTACTTCGCCACCCTCACGGCAGCCGTCCAGTTAACAGGACGGTGCCTCCCAGGTCCAACAAAGCGAGAGAGGACACTAAGAGGGTAGGCGAGGTCTGGGCGAGTACAGGTCATCAGGTACATGAGGCAGCCAACAAGCTTTGGGTAGGGACCACTGGGCTCAAAGGGCCCGTCGAGGAAGGGGCCGGTGAGTCTGTGGTTTACAGCAAGAGGAGTGGGCTGTGTGGTGGAGTGCTGAAGCACGAACCGCTGAAGGACCTGCTGCACCATGTGTGACTGCGTCAACTTGATGGTGCGAGCGGCTCTGTCCCTGGTAATCTGCAGGCCAAGGTAGCGCTCCAGTTCACCAAGGTCAGTGCACGTGTGTCTCTTCTGCAGTTCGAACTTCACCCTCAGCCAGAGCTGCCCTGTCTGTTGTAGCAAAAACCAAGTCGTCGACGTAGACGAGTATAAAGAAAGGAGTGGAGCCGGCACGAACAAACAGTGACGGGTCAGCAGAGGAAGGGCGAAACCCTAGGTCACAAAGCGTGGAGCGAAGAGTGTCGTGCCACTCATGGGGCGACTGGCGGAGACCGTAGACTGGTCGCCTCAGCTCTAGTGGGTCCTAGGAGGGAAAGTACCAGTGAAACCAGGAGGACGGCGCAGCCAGATCTCCTCGTGCAGTCGTCCCTGGAGAAAGGCAGTAGAGAAGTCAAGGGAGTGGAGCTCGTAGTCACGCTGTGCTGCTACGTGTAGTAACACCCGAAGTGTAGTTATCTTCGAGGTCGGGGCGAAGGTCTGAAAGAAGTCAACTTTCTCGCGCTGACTGAAGCCTCTCGCCACATAGCGCGCCTTGAACACCAGGGGTGATCCAGGCGGCCGCTTCACCTTGAAGAGCCACATGCCATCGACTACGTTCGCCCAGAGAGGGGGAACTGCGTCGACGTACGTGCATGTGGATCTCCAAGACGCCAACTCTGAGTCCATGGCCGCCTTCCACTGAGAGGCCCATGGCCCTGACACTGCCTCACGGTACGTGCGAGGAGTTGGTATGTCAAGGGCGTCGAGGTCTCCCTTAGGGGAAAGCAGCATGGCACAGAGAGTGGGAGAAGCGCCTGCTAGGTACTCCGGCTCAGAGTGCCTGTCCTCTAGGACGTCACAGCCAAGGGCAAACTCACCCCCGACGGACAGAGGACGGGGAGGCAGAGCGGGCACCACACAAGTGCTGTAGTTAAGGCGGCTGGCGGCGGCAAAGTCAGCGACAGAGGCAGAGAGAGCCGAGACAGACGACGGAGAGAAACGAGGGTCGGTGAAAATAGTGGCTAGAACGCGGGAGACAACAGGGCGAACAACACGATAGTTTTTCGAAGATAGGAGTAGGGGAGACATGAAGAGAAGACGGAGGAGGAGACGGGAGAACAGACACCGAAGGAGGAGAACGACGAAGAGAAGTGCAAAGGAGGGCCGTGTGGAGGTCGGTAACGGGGGACAAGGGACGAGCACTCGGAGGACAAGGACAGGAACGGTATGTTGGAATCATGAGAGGAGTGAATGAACTAGGCAGCAGGTGGGTACAAGTATGAAACACAAAAGTGTTGTACCCTCTTAGAACTACCCCAGTACAGCCTAAACATACTACAGCATATATAAGTTTGACACACCCCCATAGGCAAAGTGGGGGAGAACAAGAGGTCACAAGACCAGTCAAGAAAGACAAAGCAAGCTCAGGGTGGATCACAAAGTCACCACGCAGTCTGAGCACAAGCAAATGGCCACAAGGCCAGTTCACATGCAGAGTTATATAAAGGAGAACAAACAATACAGTGAACACAACCTAGCAAGTCTAAGCATGCAGGTATATGCATAAAGAGTACAGCAAAGGCAGAGTCAAGAAGAAAGCAAGTGAGGCACAGTAGGTACAAGGCCTAACATAGTACAGAAACGCTGATGATCACAAGGCTGAAGTGCCTTGGTGAAAACATCAGCAGTGTTGGCCTGAGAGGCCACGTAAGCAAGACGAAGCTGGCCACGCTGCTGCAACTCTCGAGCAAGGAAGTAGCGTAGAGCAATGTGTTTCGTTCTGTGCTCCAGTCTGTGCTCCTGACACAAGGCCAGCATGGCCTTGTTGTCGACGTACAGAACTGGAGGAGAACGAGGTGCCTCTCCCAAGTCGGTCAGCAGGTAAGTGAGCCAGCGTAGCTCCTGTGCAGCCATGGCCCCAGCGTAGATCTCAGCCTCACAACTGGAGCTGAGAACAGAAGAAGAGCGGGTAGACCGCCAAGAGACAGAACCGGAGCCAAGACTGAAGGTGTAACCCTGTGACGACCGCTGCGTAGCCATGTCGTCAAC